CTGATATCGATTATTAAGTGTATCTTTAAAATCCATTTTTCTGCATAAGTACTTTTAGTAATGGGATACAATGGCCATCCTGACTGAAAACAATCATACTTACAGTAAAATATCTTATTGGTATGTTATCAACAACCAACTTCATTATGAAAATTGTGAATATGTAATCTAAACCCCCAAGTAATTCATTTGCCTATTCAACAAAATTCACCACGCAGCTGTTATGTGCTGAGCAATATTCTAGTTGCTGGAAACAGAGCAGTGAACAAAACAGACAATATAGCTCATTCCCTTGGGGAGCTTATTGTCTCACTCTGAAAATATAAACAGTTCACAAAGAAAAATAAAATGTATAGTATCCTAGATGGTAATGAGTATTCAGGGAAAATGAAGCCGGAAGCGAGGACAGAAAGGGGCGCAGCAACCGACAAGCAGCGAGGGGAGGCCGCCTGATGGGTGGTGTTCGAGGACATCATGGAAGGGGGGGGCAGACCAGATAGGAGGAGGGCGAACAGGCGGGCCGCCCTGGAAGGAGGGGACGGCGCACACCAAGCCCCTCACCGGGGTGCCCAGTCACAGCCAGGGAGAGCGGGGACCAGTGCGCCGCTGCAGGGGCTCTGACCGGAAGGAGGGGAGCGAGGCGGAGCAGCAGAGCAGGGAGGAGGCCAGGGCTCGAATCCAAGCAGAGTGATTTCCCTGTGACTGAGGAAGGCGTATGGCCTGAAGGGGGTCCACGCTTCAGAATCCACTGTCAACGTTTGGTGTAACCTGGCAGCCAAGGAGCGCGGGCTGTTGAAATAAGAGAAATACTTTAGTTAGTCCAAGATACAGATGTCATGAGCAAGCAAGCATCCTCGGAAGGAGTCCACTCATGCACGCTGGTGCCTGTCCACGAAGCCAGGTGTGTCGGGGAGACCTCCCCAGTGAGCCAACAGAGTCACGCGCAGGTTGTGCACAGAGAGGGCGGCTTACACCAGAGGCAGAGTGAGCAGCAGGTGCAGAGGCTGAGTCCCTGGCGGTGTCCGCAGATGGAGAGGTGGGCGCCCATCTAGGCCAGGAGGGGAGTGGGAGTCTGGCTTGAGCGTTGGGTGGTCGGAGCTCTGAGCTCTTACAGCGCAGCAGGGGTGGAGGGCCCGCTCATCTCGGTGTCCAGACTTGTGGTTTTGGGAGCTCCCTTTGCACCTCGTACCTCAGTCTTGACGTAACACCTGACATAGCTGTCATGGCTGACAGTGACTCCATATTGGATGGCCAACAGTGTCCAAAAAGTCAGCTCTGCTCTCACTCTGCAGAATAGATCAAGGAGCAGCGCAAACACAGGCTAAACAGACAGTGTTTGCTTTCAAAAGTACACGTGTATTGCCTAATAATACATCAGTATTAAAACCCAGTTACGTTCCCTTCGTTGTCATAACCATTTCCAATGATTAGTAATTTAAGTAACTGAGATAAATAGTGTAATTATGTAGGCTTCGTTCTGTGAATATTTAAAAAGAATTTTCTTCTCCAGAGTTGTAAAATTTTATATTAACTTTATTTATTGTTCTAATTTTACTTTTTCTGTTTTAATTTTAGATTCAGAGATATTAAATTATAACTTGGAACCATACTGCTAAATATTGAAAATATATATTAAAAACCTTTAGCCTAGACCAAATTGGGTTTTCCATTTTATGGCTCAGTTGTTAATATTTAGACAACTTTTTTTTTCCTTTATGTAGTTTTTGGTATCGTTCTTTTTTGTATCAATGTGTGGACAAAAAGGGGGCCACATACTAACCCGACCAGCTCAGGGGAGGCCTGTGCGGTGGCCTTACAAACTCAGGGACCTAAAGGAAACACAAAGGATGGTCTGAATGAAAAATTATTAACTAAAAGCAGCTCATGGCAGGTAGCGATGTTCTAGGCTAGGATCTTCCCTGACAAAGGTCAATCTTTACCTTAATTGAGCCTATTGTCTTTTTGTATCTATGATAACTTACCTTTAGAATGTCAAAGCAATTTCCTTTTTCTAGACCTCAAAGCACAGATACTGCCCCAAAGCCCCAAAGAGGAGACCACCAATCCCCTCATTGTTATTATTGTGTTAAACGTTGCCTATTAACCCTCCCGTACCCACCTGTGAAAAAGAAGTACGAGGTCTGTCCAGAAAAAGTCCAGCCACTGTTAATATAACAAGAATAGTTTGCACAGCATTGATGTAACCTGGCAGCCAAGGAGAGTGGACTAGAATACACATGTGTGAACAATGATGACTTCACTGTATTAGTCAGTGGGGATGGTAGACGCTCTTGAGTGAGCATGTGTGCTGTGTGGCTGTCACGTTCAAAATGACTGAGTGAGCAGAGCAACAAATCTGCATCAAATTTTGCCTTAAGCTTGAATATTCCTCCGTGGAAACCGTTCAGATTATTTAGGAGGCTGCAGCTTATGAGCAACTGGTGACTGGCAGCTTCATCACAACAAACCCCCTGCTCATGCGCCGAGTCTCCTGCAGAGTGTTTTTGCAAAACATCAAATCACCCAGGTGACTCAGCCCCTCTGCAGCCTAGATTTGGCACCCTGTGACTTCTGGCTTTTCCCAAAACTAAAGTCACCTTTGAAAGGGGAGGGATTTCAGATTGTTGACAACATTCAGGAAAATACAATGGGGCAGCTCATGGCGACTGGGAGAATGGTGTGAGGTCCCGAGGTGCCTGCTTTGAAGGGGACTGAGGTATCATTGCGCTATGCACAATGTTTCTTGTATTTTCTTCAGTAAGTGTCTCTGTTTTTCATATTACATGGCTGGACACCTTCTGGACAGACCTCATATGTATCTAGCATTTTACTTTCTATCTAAATCTAGAGGTTCCGCCCCCCCACCATTGACTTTCTCCCGCTTACCATTACTCTCCTTTGACCGTAATGTATAAAATAAGCAGCCAAACTGCCATTCTCTGGGGTGCTTTCTCAATCTGTTGAGATTTTGCTTCCCAGCAATTTTCGCTTTGTCTCACATAAAATCACAAAAATTCTCTACAGGCTTGAATGTTTCTTACATTGACAAGTGTTAAATTTGCTCTTTATGGCTGGTAATCAAAATACATACAAAGTTCAATTTTGTTATAATAAGTGTTAAAAATTGTGCACATTTTGAGAACTTTGGTAAAAGCTCAGTTATTGGCAGTCTAGCATTCCCAAATCAGGGCACAAGGCAATTAGGATTAGGTGTAATGCGGGCAAGGTTGGTTTACTTTTTTTTTTTTTTTTTTAAGCGAGTTGTTATGAGTTTATTTGAGTCGAACTGATAACGTTTGCCAAGGAGCAGATCTCAGGCTCCCTTGATTTCCTTTTTAATAGCAACCCCTGGGTGCAAGCGACAACGCTTTTAAATCTTAGATGCTCTGTGTCTCCCAGTTGCCCTTTCCTCTCCTGGCTGGGAAACTGTGAGCCTGCGACACGACGCTAAGGACGAGCGAACGAGCGCGGCGCTTGCGCGCCTTCTGCGGCTGCGCCGCGACACCAACGGCAGCCCTGCGGCCCAGGCCGATCCTGGCCACGGCGCCTGCCTGCCGGTCTTCGGTTGGTCTCCGCACCGCCGAGTTCTGGTTTACTAAGGCACAGAAGATGGTCAGGGGCCTTCAAACCTGTAGAGAATTTTCCTGAGTTTATTTGAGCTAAACGGACCGTTGCTGGGAAGCAAAAGCTCTATGGATTGAGAAAACACCCCAGAGAACGGCAGTTTGGCAGCTCCCTTCATCCATTACGATCAGAGGAGGAGGCCTTAGGGGGTTACGAGAAGTCCACGGGAGTCAGACTAGCGGGTGGGAGGAAGCCAAGCAGGGACGCCTCTGGGAGGGGATCCAAGGAAAAGCACTGAACAGACACACATGTCTTTTACGCGGGCGGGACAGGACAATTAACAATTAACACGACACCACCAAGGGGCTCCGTGGTCTCCGGCTCGGCCCCGGAGGCCCGGCCCGAGGAGGCTGACGTCCAAAGCTCCGTCCTGCGATTCAAAGGGACAGCGAGACAGGCTCTGCGAAGGCAAAGACGGACCTTTGCCCAGACATGACACTGCCCGCCGCCACCGAGTTTAGTTCACAGAGCTGGAATGCCAGACCCTCCTGTGCGGCTGCTCGGGGGCTCCCGGCGTGCGAGGCGCCGCAGGCCTCCCCGAGCCGGTTGGGTTTGGCACGCGACCCTCTTTCCCTGTCCCCGGGACGGGAGGGAAGGCTCGCGGTGGCTTCAGTGCCATCATTTTTCTCGTTTTTACTGCGAACAGCCCGCCGCTAACGAGCAGGCCGCGGCTGGGTTGCGGGTCTTTGGCACGGCTGGCCCGCGAGACACTCGCGCGCCGCCCGGCAGGGCCCAGGGCCGAGGGCCCGGCCGCCGGCCAGGCGCACGGGGTCTTCTGCTCTTCGCTCGGGAGCCCGGGCGAGGCGAGCTCACGTGTGCGGGTGACGTAAGCCCACCGGGTCGCGTGACCAACATCCCGCCCCCCCGAGGCCCCGCCCCGCAGGCAGCGCGGCAATCTCGCGAGAACCGCCTCGCTCCCGGAACTTGCTGAGCTGACAGGGAGTCCCTCAGGAGCGGAGGTGTGGTCGAGGGGCGGTGTTCTTGTTTTCGTTCTCGTAACGTGAGGGCCAAAGCCGAAGCCTTCGGGGGCTGCCCGAGTGTGAGCAACCCGACCTGGAAGAGGCGGGGAGGTGGAGAGCAGGGGCAGTCCTGCGGAGGGGAGGCGCGGCCCGGCGGGGTCGCCCTCGAGGGGGGCCGCAGCCCCGGCGGTCACGCGCCGCTCAGTCTTCAGTCCAGTCGGCGTCTCGGCCTCCCCGTCGCGCGGTCACCCCCGAGACCCGCGAGGGGACGGGCTGGGGCCGCCTCGAGGCGGGAGGCGGTCGGACCCCAGGGCGCCAGTTTCTTCTACCCCCATTTCGCGCCATGCCCCGCCCTTGGGCCCGCCCCGCCTCCAGGCCCCGCCCCCAGGGCTGGAGTCCCGCCCCGGCTCCGCCCCGGCCCCGAGCCTCCGCCCCGGCTCGCTTCCTCCGCCCCGCCCGCCGGCCCGCGGATCTTTCGCAGCTGCTGGCTGCTCGCGGCTCGCCCGCGCCGGCTGTTTGCCATTTCCCGGCCCCTGTTCCTGAGCGCTCTGCCCCTGCGTGCGGGAGGGAGGCTGGAAGAGAGCCGTGCGGCGTCCAGAGGGGCAGCCGGGCCGAGCGCAGGAGGAGGCGCCCTCTGCGGTCACCGCCGCCCCGCGCGATCCCCGCGGCCGGCCACTCTCGGACGCGGACGGCGAGCGGGCCCGGGGACGGCCCGACCCCAGGATGGCCTCCACCACCACCTGCACCCGGTTCACGGACGAGTACCAGCTCTTCGAGGAGCTCGGAAAGTAAGCGCGGCGCCGGGGAGGCGGGGGCCGGGGAGGGGGCTGTCCGGGGTAGGGGGTCGGGCCAGGGGCCCTGCACGCGTCCGCCCGCCCGCCTGCCTCGGAGCCGTCACCCCGGGAGTCCGTGTGGACGCAGCGCAGACCCTCTTCTGTAAGCGGAGATGCCGTGGGAGCTGCGGAGCGACCACTCGCGGACGAGTGGCGCTAGCCCCGCGGTGCCGCGTTCCTGACGCCCGGAATTCCACGTCCAGAGAGGGGTCGCCCAGACCAGCCCGACCCTGCCCGCGCCCCTTTCACCCTCGGCCCGGTGACACGCTCACCGTCCCCTCGCAGGGCTCGCGCGGATCCTCTTCGTCCCTGGAGGACTTCCACTCGGCGGGAGAGCCCCCTGGGTGGCCTAGCGGTGCTCGGACCTGCAGGACCGCTGGAGACGTGTAGGGAGGGGACAGGGACCCGCCGAGGCCCTGCCCGGGGACCCAGGGACTGGAGGTGTGCAGGGAGGGACAGGGACCTGCTGAAGCCCAGGGCTTGGGGACCCAGGGGCTGGAGGTGTTCAAGGAGGGACGGGGACCTGCTGAGGGTCGGGCTGTGCACTGGGACCCCCAAGCGACCGGGATGCTGATTTACGATTTATGCAGCATCTGACCCAAACCCAGTCCTCTGCCTGTTTCCACTATTGCTGCTGAAAGGGTGCGGTGTGTGGTGATGTTTTATGCAGCGGAATTAAGGAAATGGAAATATCTTTTAAATGGAATGAACATTGTATGCTTATATGTTTATGCATTGTTTGCTGTTAAAGCATGGAGAATATGTCGGAACAGCAGCTTAATTCAAACCTCGCCCCTCCCCCAGCCCCAAACAGGGCACAGAGAAATCACCGTACCAGGATTTGTTAAACCGCGCAAATGTTCCCAGTATTTCTATTTTAATGAAAACAATCGCCATGTTTACTTACTTGGAGCCACATTAATTTTTTCCCTACCAAAATAAATAGGCAGCAGATTTTTGCTGCTCTTCCTCAGCTCTGCTCTTTGCAGGATTTTGTCTCCAAGCATTTGGTGCTGTGTGAGAGTGAATTGTAAAAGGTTCTCAGATTTCATGTGCAAACAAGAGCCTCATAATTGGCAGTCCCTTTCATTTTGTTGATTAATAATGTGTGCTCCCAGTTCAACAAAATTTACTTTTATTTCTCAGTATTAAAGAAGGTCCGGATTTCCAGGAAGAGTTGGTCATTTTCTGGATATTCCTGTAGTGCACTGATACTTGAAAATTTACTAAATTCAATGAAAATGTTCCATTGTTGTAATTTTCAACAGACTATTAGAGATGATTATATTGAATACCTGGTAATTTTTAATTTTCAGGGGGGCTTTTTCGGTGGTGAGGAGATGTATGAAAATCCCTACTGGTCAAGAATATGCTGCCAAAATCATCAACACCAAGAAGCTTTCTGCCAGGGGTAGGTGTTTCCAGTATGTGTAGGTGTTGATTTTGTATTTCTCATGCCCATGGTTGGCCCTCTGGTACGTAAGTACATCACATAGTTTTAACTGAATGACAGGCTTAGATAGTGTGTTACATATGGAGATTAGTGCCTTCTGACGGCCGCTTGGACTGTGCAGTTTCAAAATAAATGAACAAATAATTTAACAAGTTGTTATAAAAATTCTATCTGTCGTATGGGCAATAACATAAATAACAATAATTATAAAGCAAATAAATGTCACTGAATGCATCTTGCTTTTAGCTGTACTCTGAAATAACTTTCAGAAAAACGCTGGAATGGAAAATAAAAGGCTTGCAACTGTCATTCCCTTTTGCTTTTGAGAGGAAAAATAGGTCAGAGCGCGGGTGAATCATATATTTCAGTCGTAGTTACACTTGAACTTAATTCATCGAGGTATAGTTAACACTGAGGGCTTTGGGAGCGAGCTCCGCCTGCTCCACTCGGGGCAGCCCAGCCGCCGCTGCCGCTGTTGCCGTGCGCCGCGCAGACCTTCGCTTGGCCCACCGCGTGGAGATGGCTCACAGACCTGGAATGTGTTTTGCACATGCTTAGTAGCCACAGAGATAATTCATGCTCATGAAATAGCTGTTGACATAAGCAGAAAACTTGGAGGGCTCTCTGCGCTCTGGTGACTTCTTTGCACTCATGCAAAAGTACTTCTGCTGAAATGTGAGGCATCCCAGTTACTGTGAGCACGTGTCTAAGGTATTTATTTCCCTGGGAATTTATGGTGTAATGAAAGAAAAATGAAATGAAATGAACGAAATGCCGTAGTGTAAGCCCATCTCAGTGACCTGGTGGTTGATTTTGCTGTGAGTGAGAAGACCGTCCCCGAGGGTTTACCTTGCCTTCTGCCCGGCGCCCTGCGCAGGCCCCGGTGTCGGGGTGTTGGGTCCCTGCGGTGATGTCGTCCTCTGTTGCACGTTCCTCTGAACACGGTCTCTAGTGGAAGCCGGCGTTTCAGTGTAGTGGCGGGGGGCGGTGGTTGTGATTCTGATTCTGAGGGGCCCCGCGCTCGAGGCGGTGGCAGGGCCGGGCAGCGCTGGGGGGCTGGCGGCTGGGAGGCGCCCTCTGGCCCAGGTGTGCCCCTTCCGGCGTCTTCGCCCGGAGGACTGTGTTCTGCAGAGAGAAGCTGCTAAACTGTGAGCAACACTTTAGTTTTAAACACAATGAACGCGAGGCCCAACTCTCTCAGTGCCAGTCTGACCTCTTCCTGTGCCTGGGCAGGTGGGGCGCGAGGGGGTCGCACTTCCTGCAGAGCCCGCGCCAATCCGGGTCACCTGCGCTTCCCGGCGCCTCCCATCCATCTGCTGCTGGCTGGCAGGCCGGCCCCCTCCCTCTGCTCGCGGGGGCAGGCCCCTCGGGGCTGCGGTAGGAGGGGGCAGGGGTAGGCATCGGCAGCCTGCGGGCTCCCGCCCTGCGCCCCCTACTGCCCCGGCAGCGTGCCCTGCGCCCCCTGCACGCCCGCCGTCGGTCGCTGCGCCCCTCGCGGTGGGAGAGGCAGGGAGGGTGCCGCGCGGAGGGACCGGCCCCTGCGCCGCTGGAGCAGCAGCAGGCTCCTCACCTGCTGCCTGTGCGCCGCCGCCGCAGGTACTTCCCGGAGGCCTTGATTTCCTTACCTTCAAAATGGGGCGATAACGGAGCACTTCCTTTTGTGGGGCTCGAGTCAACCCCCGCGTCCGCACCTGCTCCGGGAGGTGCGCGGGGCGGCTGCGGCGGCTGTCGCCCCCGTGGGTCGTGCTCGTGGGTCGTGCTCACGGTGGAGGGGAGGGCGGGCCAGTCGCAGAGGCGGCGCCAGCCCCTTTAGCCGTGGGAGCTGCGCATGGTCCTTGGCTCTGCTGCAGAGCAGGTAAAGCCGGCCAGTCGCTCACCTTTTTTGACCTCAGGTTCTTTATCAAAAAAGGCGGGGGGGGGGGGGGGCATGGTGGGGGGGCGGTTAAGTGTCCAGAAGGCGCCAGGGCTGTGGTGAGGATTCATTGAAATTTGTCAGAACCACTTCTTAACTAGCAAAGTGCTGTATCAGTTTTCCTGTTATTACTGCTCACCTGTAAAACAGGACAGTACTTTTCCTTTAAAATGTTTAATTTATTTAATATCATCAAAACAATTAGAGCTGGTTATAGAATATTTGTACCTTTGAATGAATACACTTGTTTAATCTGTACCCAATTGAATTACTACTTTCATTTTGTAGTATAACATTCCACAGCGTTGGGGACCCAGGATGGCTCGGGAGAGTAACCGGGATCACACGTGGCCCTTGAGTGTTTTGGGGAGGAGCTGGGTACCTCGGTCATTCGGAGGGACAGGCAGGTACTGGCGTGCAGTGATCTGTAATCACTGTGCGGAGAGCACATGCTCTGGAGGATGCATTCTCCTTGAAAAGCGCTCCGTGCTCTGGACACAGTGATCCTAAAACACCACTTTCACAAAACAATTTAACTAATATATTTAAAGGGAAGTGTAGAATGAAATGTGAAGCAGCACGCTTATTTTTTTCTAAGGTACTGTTTTTGTTCATTCGTTTTTTTGTTTTGTTTTGTTTTGGCTGCATGTGGCAGTTTTTGTGGAACATGTAATTTTTTGTTTTAGTTGAAATGCCACATGCCTTTTTAAGTACAAGCTTTAAGTCTGTTTGTTTTAAAGACCAGGCAGGTCCTTCAACTCAGATAATATTCTTTAAATGTAAGATTTCAACTGAAAAAGAAAGGCCATTGTCAGTAATTGTCATCCAAGACCACAGGGGAATTGCCAAAAATGTGGCCACATTCCTGCAGAAGCCTGCACCCCGCCCCCCCGCCGGCGCTGTGGCGGGCACCCCCTGGGCCTGGGCCTCGGCGGCCCCCGCAGACCAGACCGGCCGCGCGTTTCCTCTCAGCTGTTAGTCACACACCATATTCGGGAGACTCGGAGTCTTGAAGCATTTCTTTCCTTTTGCGTTAACACATGTGTGCACAGGGCGTTCCTTATGTAACACCGATCAGCTAGATAAGCACACTCACACATCATTGGGCCTGTTTTAATAATAAGTAATGTGGAAACGTCTCAGATATTTCATGTGAAATTTCTGTCTTCCAAGAAGCTTTGTGTTAGGACTAAAAGGCATAATGTGGGGTAATGCAGGATAGTGATACTGGAAATTTATCTCGTATTTTTAACCATGAGATCAGTACCTAGTGCCGGTTTGGCCTGCTGCCTTGGGAGTCTGTCAGTTTGGATGTGATTGTAACTGTAGGGTGTTGTCAGGTTCGGGAAGGTCCGCGCAGGGCTGTGGCTGACGGTTCAGAGGGCAGAGGTCTTCAGAAACGGGTCATGGGGTGATGTCACCTGTTACGGCCTCCCTGTGGTGAGAGACGTTTCACGGTCGCGGTGACTGGACGTTCATCTCCCAGGGCATTTTGTGATCATTAGGAACCACTTCTGATCACATACAGTCTGACGTGCCAGAAGTCACTGTTCTGTGAAATCTAATGAAAGAATACATGCTAAGATAAGTATATTTTTCCTCTACTCTGTTGCAGAATTTAGAAAAGGGTTTCATTTTATATTTCTGTAAAACTTCAGATGAAATAGTTACATCATTTTGGTAGTCTTTGATTTTACTAGTTTTGTTAATTCCTAAGTAGGTGACTTTATAAAACTGACCATGAACACAAAATTAGGTCTCAGCTCTGAAATCTGAAGGTTGCATATATGTCCCTGAGTTTTTCTTTATGTAAAATGGGCATGTCAGTAACTAACTCTAGTTATCTTTTTCTTTTTTGGCATTTAGACAATCCAGAAATTACTGTAATTTCTCAGCCTCTTGGTTACTTGTCTTGAAGTAGAAATAGATCTGAAACAATAGAGATGAGAGAACTTGTTCTGAATTTACATTATTGATTTGACAAGTTGGAACTCATTGGACAAAGTAATGTTAATTTTTAAAAGTTTCTTGGCTCCAATAATATTTTAAGAAAAATTGTACAAAATCATTTTTATTTTTGTACATAGACTCTCTCCAACTCTTCAATTATCAGGCCCAACGTGGTATGTGTCATCCTTCTCATTTTGTGTTCTTTCGCTGTGTTTAATTGTATTTACATTCTTACATAGATCTTGATGTTAGACATTTATTTCCTGCTTTTGGTGAGAGAGAATATTGATATTCAGAACTCGTTAGGAGATAGAAATGAAAGTGTATATCCGTCCTTCCAGGAGACCATGAAAACCCTTTCTGTCCTCAGCATCATTAAACGAAGCAAAGAACGCGGTGGGGGCACCTGGTTGCCATGCTGATGACTAGCGCCGGCGACTGCCTGCCTGCCCGTGCAGCAGAGACGGAGCACCCCGAGAACCGCGGTCGGGCGCCCAGTTAGATCGGCGCTTCTCGTGTCCATGGACGTCCTGAGCCAGCTCGGTGCGAAAGTTAAACTTTAGCAGTTCAGTGCGTTTTATAGGTTCTTTTAATGTTGATTGTGAATTACTAGGAAGCACATACTAGTATTTTCTCGGTCATTTAACTTCTTTTGTTAACTAGAATTTTAATTAATTTTTAAAAGTCTTTTCCTTGGGCTAACGCTGAGGCAGGCCAGCTGCCAGTTTCTCTCACTGGGTTGGGGTTTTTTTCTTTTTCTAACAATATATACGTACAGAATTTATGTAACTACTTAGACTGCAACTCATGATATAGAATACTAAGCTCTCCTAACCCATATTTCTTCTCCAAAATGTTTTTAACTCTTTTTTGTCCCTTTTCTATTGTGTTGCTTCCGGTGGCTCTCCCACCCTCACGCCCGCCGCCCTGCAGTCACCACGCGGCCGCGGGCGGGGGAGCCGCGGGCCCGGGAGCCCGGGCGCCCGGGCACAGGAGCCCTGGGGTTCTCAGCCTCCGCCCTCCTCCTCTTGTCAGGGCTCAGCGTGTACAGGGTTTTAATAAATTACTGGCAGCTAATTAACGATTGCTTACATAA